CCACAGCTGTTGATGGTCATGTGTTGTTTAAACTATGGCCTGCTCACAAGTTAACCCTGGGGGGTGAAACCAGGGTAAATCTCCCTTAATGTGCCATTCCAGCCTTTGGAGCATGATATCTGTGGCAGTGAGTTCACTCCCCATTGCCAGACTGAAAAGCTGACAAAGTTTCCCTGCAAACCAGATGGCCAGAGCTATAGGTAGGAGCCTCCAGGAAACTCATCGCTGGGGCTGTTCTGTGTTTCTCACAGCCTCCTTAGCAATTGACCAGCACTAGCTGTTAGAGAGAAAAAAACAAAACAAAACAAAACCTACCCATGTGTTTCACCAGGATTCATAAACCTGTACTGTTTCAAACATGGTCACTTTACTTAAGTGTCTATTTAACTTTATTTTCAATAATGTGCCTAAAACTCAAATAGGTAAGAGCTGGAAGGATCCTCAGAGAACCAGCTAATCTACTACCCTCATTTAGAGACTGGAAAACTAAGAGATGGCTCAAGAAGGAAATGGCAAACCCACTCCAGTGTTCTTGCCTGGGAAATCCTACGGATAGGGAGCCTGGCAGGCTGCAGCCCATAGTGCTGCAAAGACTCAGACATGACTTAGTGACTAAACAACAACAAAGTCACATGGTCTATGGAATGACGCCCCTCTGAAAACGTCCCTCTGCCTCCAACAGTGGTGGAGATGTTCCAAAAACCACCTAACTTCCAGTGTCAGAGAATCCTGCGCTTGCAGCCCAGCCCTCCTCGGCAGGCTCAGCAAGCCAGGCCAGATTCAGTGCCTCCTTCTCAGCCTGACTCTCCCAGTTCAACCACAATCAAACCTGTACACACCTTAACATACGGCCCTTCAGTTAAGCCTACACGGGAGGGGCCATGTCTTGAGCACCCACTGAGCTGCCTTTTCCATAAGAAGACTCCCAATTTGGGGTTTAAATTCAGTCCCCATGGTGCGGGTCCTCTTCCGCGATGTGCAACAGCCACAAGAGGCTGGAATCACGGCGGCTCTGAATACCCTGCCCACAGACCCCACCATCTGGATTCTTCCTCTGTTTATTTTCTCTGCTTCACTGTATAATGACAGCTCCCTCTGGGCAGGGAGTTGTATTTTCCTAGAACCTAACCCGTCCTCATTGGAAAAGACCCTGATGTTCGGAAAGATTGAGGGCAGGAGGAGAAGAGGGTGACAGAGGATGAGATGGTTGGATGACATCAGCAATTCAATGGACATGAACTTGGGTAAACTCTGGGAGATGGTGAGGGATAGGAAGGCCCGATGTGCTGCAGTCCATGGGGTCACAAAGAGTCAGACCCAACTGAGTGAGCAAACAACAGCAGCAACTCATCCTCACAGAGGAGGTCCTCAACCCAAGGTGGGTGGACAGTAAGTGAGCAGACTCACGACGAGTAGGTGAGCATGTCACCAGTGTGGAGAGAAGGGATGGGTCCCTTAACTAGAACTTTCTAATTTGCCAATGTCACAAAGAAATGCTTATATTAAAATACTAAATTAAAAAGAAGGCCAGATTCAGTGCCTCCTTCTCAGCCTGACTCTCCCAGTTCAACCACAATCAAACTTGTACACACCTTAACATACGGCCCTTCAGTTAAGCCTACACGGGAGGGGCCATGTCTTGAGCACTCACTGAGCTGCCTTTTCCATAAGAAGACTCCCAATTTGGGGTTTAAATTCAGTCCCCATGGTGCGGGTCCTCTTACGCGATGTGCAACAGCCACAAGAGGCTGGAATCACGGCGGCTCTGAATACCCTGCCCACAGACCCCACCATCTGGATTCTTCCTCTGTTTATTTCACTCTGCTCCACTGTATAATGACAGCTCCCTCTGGGCAGGGAGTTGTGTTTTCCTAGAACCTAACCCGTCCTCATTGGAAAAGACCCTGATGTTCGGAAAGATTGAGGGCAGGAGGAGAAGAGGGTGGCAGAGGATGAGATGGTTGGATAACATCAGCGATTCAATGGACATGAACTTGGGTAAACTCTGGGAGATGGTGAGGGATAGGAAGGCCCGGTGTGCTGCATGGGGTCACAAAGAGTCAGACCCAACTGAGTGAGCAAACAACAACAGCAACTCATCCTCACAGAGGAGGTCCTCAACCCAATGTGGGTGGACAGTAAGTGAGCAGACTCACGACGAGTAGGTGAGCATGTCACCAGTGTGGAGAGAAGGGATGGGTCCCTTAACTAGAACTTTCTAATTTGCCAATGTCACAAAGAAATGCTTATATTAAAATACTAAATTAAAAAGGGTGGTATAAAGTTACATCTTTGAATAAACTCATATATTTGAAAAAAATAAGGAAAACACTATAACATTAATGGTGGTAGAATTTTTTTATCCCTTTGTGCACTTTCCATTAGTTCATTTTTAACTGCCAGCATTGAACTACAATCAAGTGAATATTCTCGCCCTTGTTGTTGTTCAATCACTAACCTGTGTCTCACTCCTTGAGACCCCATGGACTGAAGCACGCCAAGCTTCCCTGTCCATCACCAACTCCCAGAGCTTGCTCAAACTCAGGTCCATCGAGTCGGTGATGCCACCCAACCATCTCATCCTCTGTCGTCCCCTTCTCCTCCCGCATTCAATCTTTCCCAGCATCAGGGTCTTTTCCAACGAGTCAGTTCTTCGCATCAGGTGGCCAAAGTACTGGAGCTTCAGCTTCAGAATCTGTCCTTCTAATGAATATTCAGGACTGATTTCCTTTGTGATTGACTGCCTTGATCTCCTTGCAATCCAAGGGACTCGAAAGAGTCTTCTCCAACACCACAGTTCAAAAGCATCAATTCTTCGGCGCTCAGCTTTCTTTAGGGTCCAAGTTTCACATCGATATATGACTGCTGGAAAAACCATAACTTTGACTACATGGACCTTTGTCAACAAAGTAATGTCTCTGCCTTTTAATACGCTGTCTAGGTTGATCATAGCTTTTCTTCCAAGGGGCAAATGTCTTTTAATTTCATGGCTGCAGTCAGCATCGGCAGTCCTTCACTATATCCCAGAGTTTTCTCAAACTCATGTCCACTGAGTTGGATTACAAGGATTCTTGCTGTAGACTTTCATAGATTCTGAAACGCAAAGGGCCCATGGAGGTAAGGATAATATTTTGGATTAGTTTGGCTCTCAGGGCAGAACTGAAGGGGGAGGAAAAGAAAACACAGAGGTGAGCCTGGCCTTCCACAGTGGAAAGAGATCCTTCAAGACTCCTCAGTGGCCCCAGGATGACCAGCTCGCCTCCCCACCCCGACATACACCTGCAATCGTCAGCGGTAACATCAGTTCTCCTTCTCGATCCTGGAAATCCAGAATGTTAGGGGAAAGTATATTTCTTTTGGAGCAAAGGAAGGTAATTTGTTCAACACTGGCCTGTGAATGCTTCAAAAGAAAAACAAGGAAGTCTTCTGACACAAACACATGAATTTAAATTAAAGTAGATGTGCACCCTGAAAAGCACAGCTGTTGCTCTGGCACCACCGCTGTGGGGAGGCTGGAACAGCATAGGCTGCAGACAACACGGTCCTCTGATGATATGATGGTGCTGCTCCCAGGAGCCCCGGGTGGTCTCCACCCCCTTGGCTGGTCTCTGGGCATGTTATGTTGCACAGACATACGGCAGGGGGGCAGCAAGAGCTCAGGGCCAGCGACTTTGTAAAGATGGACAAGAAGATCAGGCTTCTGAGGAGTGATGACACAGCTGAGAACAGCTGCCTGCCTCCTGCCTCCTCCTCCCGCATTCATCCCACAAACCTTTCCCGAGTGCTCCCAGGTTACCAGGCTCTGGGGAGGCCGAACCCTGCAAACCAGGAAATCGCCAGCAAGTTGGGGAGAGGGGTGAAGACCCTTAAGAAACAACCAACAAGAGAGCGACCGAGATATCCACAGATCTGGGTCAGTAAGTGGGAAACAGAAGCAAAGGACAGAAAGTTATTTCTGGCTTCCCAAGGCCATTCAGGAGAACCTCGGCTATTAAGTATTGGGCAGTTACACCCAGCCCCGGGTTCCACCAGACGCAGCTTATTAGCAGATTGTATTTGAGCACTGCAGTCTATGAGAGAGGCATGAATCACCAGCAGAGTGGATTAACTGTAAAAGAAACACACAGAAACTGGAGGCGTCCCCGCCACCCTGAGACCCAGCAGCAAGGCAGGAAGTGCAGGGCGTGGACCAGGCCTGGTCTCAGGAGACGGACGGATCTGGGAATAGTCCTGCCTCAACCTACAAAAGCTTCCCAGGGCCCCCAGAGTGAATCCTCCTTTGCTTAAGAGGCCTGCTGCCCTCCAGTCAGCCCCCACTGGCCACAGCTCACCCTCTCCCCTCCCCGTCTTATCCTCTCTGCTCCAAGCCTCACAGTGGGGCTGGTGGGCCCTTACCTCCTACCGACACCCCCAGGCCTGGACTTTCCCTGACCCTGGTCTGGCCCCACACCCTGACCCTCCCTTCCACACCACCCTTTCCTAGACTCACTTATTCCGCATCTGTTTCTCAGAATTCTATCCTGTGAGCTGTGTGTGGGTGGAAACCATCCCGTCCTCCTGAGGACCTGATCCTCAGCTCCTAGAACAGCGCCCGGGGCCTGGAGGGGCCAAGGTGAACAGATGGAAGAAAAGAGAAAGAGATCGTCCCTCCATTTCTCAGGAGCCCGAGCCTCGGCTTCCACACCAGTAAATGGGGATCAGACCAACCCGCTGTAGGGTGATGACAGCGTGCTCGGCCTTCCTGCTCTGCAGCCTGTCTTTCATTTGACAGGTGTATGCCCACCACCACATAGACACAGAGCTGCTCCATCACTCCCAGAGTCCTTCATGCAGCCCCTTTGGAATCTGACCCTCCTCCCGACCCCAGTTTCTGGCAACCATTGATCTGTCTTCTGTTCCTGTAACGTTGCCTTTTCCGAAACATCACCTAAGTGGGATCACACGGCACGTTGCCTCTTACGCCTGACTCCTCTCCCTCCGTGCAGAGCGCCGAGAGTCACCTGCGGTGCCGCGGCGGTTCCTTCCTTTTTATTGTCTCCTCCCCGAAGGAAATCTCTCCACTCAGCCGAGAACAACAATGGACCTGCCGCCTTCTACATCCCTTGGCAATGTAGCCACCAAGGTTCTAGAACACATGAGAGCCTGGGAAGTAGCAGTGAGCTGGGAGCCCGAGTCCCCCTTCCTGGCTGTGTCTGTAACCCAGACTCTGAGTTCTGCGCACCTCCCCCGACAGCCTCTTTCTGGGATCGCTCATCTGCAAAGTGGCCAACAGTACCCAGACTTCCTCAAAGAAGATGCCCAGCTCGGGTTGCTGACTCAGAGAGTGGCGTGCCGTCAGGAGGCAGGACTGGCTGTCAGGAGATGGCTGACAACCTGGGGTGCGATTTCAGGGCAGCGGTGCAGGGATGGGGGCAGCTGGCTGGCCAGCCTCTTGGGAAGAGGCAACAGGTGAGGAAGAAGTGGAGGCCAAAGAGAGGATGAACTCTCTTGAGAACACTGGGAGGAAAATGAAAGAGAAAAAGAGGGTGGTGGTGGCAGTCACAGTACTAGAACGATCATCACAGTGGCCCAGGGATGGTGAATTCTTACACTTGGGCCAGGTGATGTTTAAAACCATCCTCTCATATAATCTGCACAAGGTGATGGGCAGCTTCTGGGAACATTTCATCTCACGGTTGAGCCTGGGGGCACAGGGGCACACAGTGTACCGGCAGGTGGGGAGGCTGAGCTCCGACACCGGTTCTCACCCTCCTAGCCTCGCCTTTGTCTCAACTAGAGCCGAGCTGAGCTGCTGGTGATGCGAGGGCTGGGCAGGAGCCAGGGAAGGAAGTGTGTGGCACAGGACGGGGGGCAGGAGGGAGGGAGCCACTGGAAAGGGAACTGGAAGAGGAAGGGACCCCAGGGCACGGGTGGATAACGCCCCAGGGCATGCTTGTAGCTACAGGCTGCTACCCAGAGGTTTTGTTCTTTCAGCAGTAGAACCCGTGTGTCAAACCTGATTATACTCAAAACCCAAGGCATAATAAACCGAGTAAAAGCAGAGTTGCTCTCTCTTCTCGAAGGGAAGGAGGAGGAGGAACTAGACCCACCAACCTCCCCCACCCCTACACCCCCATCCTGGTGGAACTCAGGACTCCTTAGGGCTCCACTCTTGGATGCATGCTCTGAGGGCTGGTTCTCTCTCCTTCCTCCCTTCCTTTCCTTCCTCTCTTTTTCTTTCAAATACTCAAATAATAGCACATTCAAAACTAACATTAGCCAGAGCTGCACTGTAGTGTCTTGTGTCTGCACCGTGTTGTGATCCAACTGGGATTCAACAAAAGAATAAGTCTGGACAACACCTGTGCAGGGTCAAATCTGGATCCTCCCTCACCAGCTAAGTGACTCTCAGCAAGTGTCCAGCCCTCACAAAGCCTCAGAAGCCCCAGCAGTTCCACCACCTCTTGGGATTTTAAGAGAGTTGAACAAGTGGACATTTGTAAGAGCTCTTAGAACGGTGCTGGTTAGAGTGTGATAAGGGTTACCTAGTATTATTAATCACATCAATAGGATTAAAAGTGTAATTGGGGGGAAAAATCCAGTGGAAGGAATTAAAATGTCCCCATGGAAAGTACAAAGTTCTGCATGGCCCAAAGCTGTTCCCTCCCAGGCCTGGCCTGTGAATGCTCTGGTTTCTGTAACCATCTCTATCATTTTTGTACCACTGGGAGGAAAGGCCTGGACCATGGAGGTGTGAAAGTCAGGAGACTGGCAAGGAACGCTCATCTGGAGCCAAGTATTTATTAATTGGTGTTAATGCGACATTCTGTGCCTGGAGAATCCCATGGACAGAGAAGCCTGGCCGGCTTAGGTCCACGGGGCCGCAGAGAGCCAGACACGACTGAAGAGACTAGCATATGCCCGCTCTGTGCCTTCTGGCCCCATTTCTGTCTGAATCTGGGCTCCAAGAAGCTGGGAAAAAACATCTTCCTCTTAAGAGGCTTCAAATACTCAGACAACAGTAGACAGATGTTAAAATAACAGGACAGACGTTGCGGCTCTAAAAGAGGAAAGTTCCCTCCGTGAGAATGCAGAGTTGTGTTAGAAAGGGCTGGAAGTGAATCTTTCCCAGGACTGACTTTTCCTGAGACAGAACAAGACTCCTGCCTCCACCAAGAGAAGAGTCAGCACGGTATGTGGGTGAAGAGTGCACTCTGCTGGCCAGCAGTGAGAAAACCTCAGGGGATGCGCCAGGATTGGGGCCGGGGCGGGGGTAGTCTCAAATACCCTACGTAGCTCTTTTTTTTCCTTTTGTCTTCTTTCCTTTCCTGTCTTTTTAATTAATCTGAGCTGCAAACAAAAATGCTTCCTTCCCTAAAAGGAGAAGAACAGAGAGAAACAATAAGGTCAAAGAGAATTTCCTTCCACTCCTCACTTAACGTTTTCCCATTTGGAGCACATAATGTCACCTAAAAATGGCCCCTGTGGAACCTGGGTCTTCAGGTGGTCCACAGCACCATCCAATTTCCATCCTAAGACCTGATCAGATTGCAGATTTCACAGACAGACACCCTGACTCAAAGCCGCCTGACTCCTCCCAGAACCTCTGGGTGTGGCAGGCGGGGTCTGCTTGCAGATAAGGAGATCCCGGTGGCATGGAGGACAGGTTGACTCTGGCTCAGACCCAGATGACTGTGGATAGCCTGCTCTAGAATCCGGGGATCTTCAGAAAATACACCCTCCCGCCTCAAGACTAGACCACAGCTCTCTGCCAGGCTGCTCCCCACAGCTGGGGCCCCCACGACCTCAGTGTCCAGCTGGAGCACCATCCCCGCTCACCTTCAAGCCTGACCCTGCGGGTGAGTTCTCACCCTCTGGGTTTTGTGCTCACTCAAGACTATGCGCCAGAGCCCACCCGCGGAGCTTCAGCGCCCCTTCCTCATCACTCACAGCTGTGGGAAAGTCCCCGCTGAGTTCCCTTCTCTGTAACAATAATAGGAATTGCCATTGACTGGAGGTCCATTAACTGCCAGAAACTTGACACATTCCACTTTAAAAGAATCCTCTTGACCTCAAGAGAGGATCTCTTGAGCACCTCTGGGGTGCTCTTCTCCCTGAATGGAGGGCAAGAGCTGTTTAAAACTTGAGGCTGCTCGGCTTCTTGTCCAACAGCTAAGGAATGACTTGGCCCTGTCTGCCTTCCCCCCCAGCCCCCGTTATACGGTCTGAGTTCATCAGTCTCTATGTGTAAATGGAGTGAATCAGAGGGAAGAGGCAGGATATGGGGAGATGAGGGAATACTCGGGGGGCGGGGGGGTAGAAAAGTCTTCCGGAGTGCATAAGGGGAGTCTAGGGGAGGGAAGAGAGGGGTCTTAGGGCGCCTGCAAGGCCAGATGAGCTGGGGACTGAAGGGAATGAGGAGAGAGAGGAGTTCCTAAGAGGGGCTGCTCTTGGGTATAAAACGGATCCCCTTTGAGTCTTCTTTGAGAGACGCAGTGAAGAGGAGAACCAGCAGACTTTGAGCCTTTGGACAAAGCAAAACCTGAGGTCTGGAGTGTTGACAGCTTTTGGTTGACAGCCCAGGTTACACTCCAAGGTTCCAATGAGGAAACAGGCCGACGGAGGGTCAGTAAGGCCCGCAGAGCTCATAAGTGGCAGAGCCTAAATGCAAATCCAAGTGCATCTTCCTCCACTGCTCCTTCAGCGATGCTCAGGCCTCTGGGAGAAGGAAAAGACGACCACCTAACAGGCCAGGGGAGGGGCAGACATGAGACAGACCATGGGGACTGAAAACCTCCACAATTGTCGGTGATGTCAGAAGGACCAGTTCTTCCCCTCCCTCCTGTCCTAATCCCTGAGCTTGCCTGGTTCTGAACGTCCTATCCTCACTGCTGGACTCCTGACCTGTTGTCCTTTGTTGCCCCAAACCCGATTTGGTAAGTGCCCTGCTACTAGCCTCCCCCTGGTCTGCACACGGGGTGCGTTCTGAGCCCAAACTCCTCCAGCGGGGTGGTGGAGGCACAGTTTCTCACAGACGTTGTTTCTCTGTCCTGGATTAAACACCTGGCCCTGTGCCTGCCAGGGCTTCCCTGGGGGCTCAGATGGTAAAGCATCTGACAGCAATATGGGAGACCCAGGTTCGATCCCTGGCTTGAGAAGATCCCTTGGAGAAGGAAATGGCAACCCACTCCAGTACCCTTGCCTGGGAAATCCCATGGACATCAGGAGCCTGGTAGGCTACAGTCCATTGGGTCACAAAGAGTCGGACATGACTGAGCAACTACACTTTCACTTTCCTGTGCCTGCTTGAGGAAGTGATCTTCCCATGTGTTCATTCATTCACCAAATAGCCACTTGTTTCTACTTTATACCAGGCACTGTGCTAGCCACTCAGGACATTATGCTACTTAAAAAAAAAAAAAAAGTCCCAACTAGGAAATAAAGCATGCCTTTTCAACATCATCTACAGTCAGCACCTGCCTACAGGGTAGGTGATTTGACTTACTATTTGCTTTTGATTAGGTCCCAGACTCTGTAAATTTAGGATGTGAACTTGTAAAAAACTGGTAAGTTGTAAGTAATTTCTGCCAAGTATTAAAAGATAATTCCAAAGTTAGTGTTATTTTTCTGTATAACCTTAACAAATTTTATATCTAAATTTGCCATCTTATCCCAACATTCTTTTCTTCACAATTTTCTATATGTATATATGTGTACACATACGTACACACACAAATGAGAGTATATGTATGTGTACATATATATATTACATATATACTTACATGCATACACACACACACATATGCATATATATAACATATATCTTCCTGGATACCTCCTAGAACCAGCTTTCTCTTCCTTATCCTTCTAGTTTTCTCATAAATGAGTTAAACAGATATTTTACCCAGACTAAGTATCTATTTGTACAAGGGTGAGAGAAGGTTTTCAGAGAAAAGCAACCTTTGTGTGAGATCTGAAGAGTAACAGGAGGAAAAGCATCCCAGGCAAACAGGGCAGCATGTGCAAAGGCCCTGTGGCAGGGAGCACAGCACACTAGAGGGTGCTGACCGGGGGAGACGGTCATGTGACCTCCACGATCTGTCACTGATCCTTTCAACCAACACCTGCTGTATCAACATCATGACATGACTGTTGAGTCCCTCCTGTCCACCCCAGCCACATGCAATGGCTGTGACCTAAGAACACAGAACTAGTCCCAGCAGGTGGGAGATGAAGAACTGTGTTCCCTGGATCAACTGACTGCAACTCCATGTCACCTTTCTCAAATGACTGGGGAGAAGCCAGGAATAGGACAGCTGGCAAAGTCCCAGCTCTTGGGGGAGAGGACACCTGTACCGTGGACTACACCCTTGGATGCCAGCCTCAGTCTGTGGCACAGAAGAGAACAGAGATCCCCAGACATCTCCAGCGCCACAGCAGGCCCTCTGTCAACCCCTGCGCTCTCTGGGGGCTCCAGCTCCACCGGCCGCTCGTTCACCAAGTCAGCATGGCCCCATCGCCTGCTCAAGGGGGCTTGCTAAAACCTACAATGGGATGGTCATTTCTGCACATGTCCACTAAAAACATCAGCCCACATTCAAGTGGTACAGCAGCCTCCTGACTACAGGGGTTTTCTCATACAGCTTAATCAGCACCAGCCCTGGGGGCAGAAGACTCTGGCCAGAGGCCAGTAACTATGTGACTTTGGACAAGTTGCTTAACCTGCCTGAGCCTCAGTGTCCTCCTCTGGAAGGGGAAATACTCATGTGTCATTAGAAGACTCAGTGTTCATGGACACAAACACATTACAGATGATAAAACACAATATAAATGGGTCTTATTTTCATAGTTGTTATAATTATCTGATGCTGTTTTTAAAATATAATGAGGGTTTGTTAAGTACATAATACAACTCTATGTGGAACTTGGGCAAAATTTCCATATAAAAACGGAAAGCCCCAAGCAACAAATTGACAGAAAGCAAGCTCTCACCTCAAAAGAATGACAGGCGCGCTTCTGGAGTGACGCTGCATCAGGTGTAGAGCTGGGCACTCTCTTGCTTCACTCAGGTGTTAAAATAATAATGTACAGGGAACTCAGGTCCATTTGTTAACATGTTCAGGTTTTTCAAAACAGACCACTAGAGAATATAAATATTTCTCTAAAATTGTTTGCCAGAAAGGGAATAGAACTTTGACAGTCCCATTCATTTCACAGTTTTGAATATGAAAGAGTTCATATTTTTCCATTATTTCCATTATCATGTGCCTCAAGATATAAGATACTAGTCTCAAGATACTAACACTCATCTGGACGGGTCATCTTTTAAATAATTTTTTCTCATTAGACCTATAATAATGAGTACATATGAAGTACTTCCAACATTACCCTGAATCCAGGATAACAGAAGAAAACAATATACGTACCAGGAAGTATGGCTAGTGCACAAAGCATCTGTTCTCAGCCTCGGGTTTGTGAAACCTCAGGATATTTACTGTATCGAAGGGCAAAGTGAAATGCTTAAAATTAAAAACAAACTCTCCCAGACATTTTAACTTTACATGTTTAGGAGATGAATGAATGGCCCTCACAAGATCAAAGAGTGAGGATCTTTGTGGCACTAGCACATAGGACGGATTTTCTGAATCAATAACTGAAAAGAGGTGTTCAACAGGCTGCCACTAGGGGGCAAAAGAGAGTAAAATTTCTTAACTGCGCAAGACCCCACCCCACCCCCCAACTTTAAAAAAAAACAAAAACCTGGTTTCAATATGAAACTCCAACAGAGAGAAACCTAAAAAAAATAGAAGTTGAAGCTAAAATTGGACAATTAAAGGTTTTCTGGTAAAACTGGGAGGAACATTTCAGGGCTAATGTCAGTCCAGGCCCTGAGGACTACTGTTTCACATGTAAATAGGTTATCAGGACCGGGTTACATATTAATACCCACAGGTCATTAAGTCCCACATGTGATGCATGGTAATGCCTCGGTTGAACTAGCAAAGGGCCAGGCCCTGGGGGATGGGGTGCCGGCCGGGTGAGTTTCAATGCAGAAGAGAAGAGGAAGACAGGGGCTGGTACCCACCAGTACAGGCCCACGAGAGCTCTTTAGTCCCATCATTGTCCCACATCCCTGTCATGTAGACCTAGAAACTGGGGTTCCCAAGTTAAAGAAGAGGCTCAATGAATGGCATCATCATTCCCCCTATATCCACTCTGTATCCCATCAGGAGTCCCCCCGAGTGCCTCCCTCGGGGCAGGCTGTCACAGGGACTCAGAGGAGCTGTTTGTGGGGGCTTCTTCCACATCCATATGTGCTTCTGTCCTGCTCAACAGAGGGGGACACTCTGGGAGTCCAGTGGGAGACCCCCGCAGGAGGCGGGAGCGGGGCAAATGATCCCAGCACTCCCCTTGCACCCCTGCCCCACCACCCTGTCATTCCCCCTGTAATTACCAGGAAACTCAAATGGTTTTACATTTTCCCTCCTCCAGGGGCCCCATGTTCCAACTTAGAATTCCTGGAGATGTTTCAGCAGGAACGTCTAAAAAATCTTCATTTTGCAAAAAGCCACACTCCTTACAAACTTGTATACAGTTGTAAGCAATGTTGCAAGTAGGCTCTTCTGTTTCCTCATTTGCAAAATGAGGTAGGTGAGATTTAATTACCTTTGACGCCCTTAATCTATGATGTACAGTTTTGTTTTTAGGGTTCTCAAGTTATTTATGCAAACACCAAATTGATCTCATCACAGACTGCTGTTCACTTTCCAGTACCAAATTTTTACAGTCAGCCTGCACATAAACAGATGAAAAACCACCACCCCTTTATTCAACCCATAGAACCACACAAAAGAAAAAGATGCCAAACACTCTGTGCACAGAGAAACCCCAAACCTGTGAGATCAAACAGAGGGGGCCCTCCGCTCAATCACTTGGCAAGGCCATTCCTTGGTAACAGATACTTGCTTAATATTTACAAATTCAATGTTCATTAAATGTGACCAAGTAGGTGACCTGGCTCCTTCTCTTTCCGGCCACCCCGTCTTTTCTAACTTCTCTCCCTGCAGCCAAGAGCAACATTGGCTTGACCCGGGGCACTTCCCGGCTTGAGCTGCTGCAGGGCTCCCTGGAGCAAAGACCACGGCCAGGGCCCAGAGGGGGCCATGAGCCCCTTCGTGGTCTCAGCCATCCACTGCGGTAGCCACAGCCAAGCCCCCAGGCCAAGCCCTGTAGCCCAGGGACCTCACAGACCATTCCTCAAGCCATCTTGGCCAAGCTCCAGTGGAAAGCCGGCAGCCAGCCATTTCGGTTTTCATGACTTGGCTTTTAACTCACATTGTTTCAAGGAATGGCCAGTTCAAATCTGGCCTGCCTTCATCCTCTCTCCCCCTTGAGAAACTGGTCATTTCGGGATCCAGAGGAAGCCACGTCCACGTGTGTACACCCATGGGCACACACAGAGTCCCGTCCTCAGCAGATATCATGAAACAGATCCCTGTGCCCATTTAAGCACCTTGTTCTGGGGCCTCCATACAGTGAGAATCTCACTGAATTCTATTACTAGGAGGTCATCAGGTCTGACTTTTTTTTTAAATTATTTATTTTAATTGGAGGCTAATTACTTTACAATACTGCAGTGGTTTTTGCCATACACTGACATGAATCAGCCACAGGTGTACATGTGTTCCCCATCCTGAACCCCCCTCCCACCTCCCTCCCCATCCCATCCCTCTGGGTCATCCCAGTGCACCAGCCCTGAGCACCCTGCCTCATGCATCGAACTTGGACTGGCGATCTGTTTCACATATGATAATATTCATGTTTCAGTGCTATTCTCTCAAATCATCCCACCCTCGCCTTCTCCCACAGAGTCCAAAAGACTGTTCTTTACATCTGTGTCTCTTTTGCTGTCTCGCATACTGACTTCTTGATTATTTACAACTGGAGTTTGCATTAGCTCAGCCAATATATTAAATGCAACAAGGATTTTGAAGTGTTTTTTTTAACTAAAAATCTTTTAATCAGAAACATTTAACTTATTCTTACCTACTCATCAAGTCAATTACTTTGAGAAACACCACTAAAAAAACATATAGTCCAATTCAAAACACAACCTGTATCATAAGCTGGTTGTAAGGAGTAGGTGAAAAAAAATCCCACCAAATCTTTAGCACAGTGGTTGGCCCACAGAGAAGATTAAAAAATCATTAGCTATTATGATTATGAATGTTATAATTACTAATCTACAAAGAGCTTCCTACCTTGGTGCCAAAAAAAAAAAAAAGCTTCCTACCTAACTTTACAAATTACTTTCAGTACACCACATAGACACTTGCAATGACCAGTTAGAGGCAGATTTACAGTAAAGCAAGGATCCTTTTAAAAAAAAAAAAAAGATGCCCTCAAATTATATATGCAGCAGGCCCCACAAAACCCGGATCCTTCCCTGATTACAGGTAACAAGCGATGCTCACGTTCACCACCCCCATCCCATTCCTTCACTTTTTCCCTTCTGAACATGACACTGATCACCCCACTTGTATTTTCACCTTACTATGTAACTATAGACAACAGTGTTTCTATACGTAAGCTTTAAGTGGAATCATATCACATTATACTTAATCTCTTGTACTTTTCTATTGATATTTTATATTTTTAAGATTGATTCATATTGATATATGCAGGTTGTAACTACTCTAGAGTCCTTGATTGTACAGATATAATAGCCATTTATTTGTGCATTGTCCTGCTGATGGATATCTTGGGTCTTTACCGTTTTCTTCTGTTACAAACAAAATGATAGGAAGTATGCAGCCATTCCTGTTCAGATCTCCCTGGGGACCAGCATCAGCCAGAGTTTCTCTAGGGAATCATGGCAGACACTGATGCATCTTTTGTCCTTACTAACAGAACTCAATGTGTTCTAGGTTGTAATTAAACATCATCACCTTCCCAGACCTCCCTGTAGCTACAGGAAGACATACCTCAGTTCTAGCCAAAGATAAAATAGTGATGGCCCTCCTTCCTTCCCTGCTGGAACACAGACCTGAGGACAGGAGATGAGCAGCTATGATGTGAACATCAGGACAAAATCTCACCAAGGGCATGGCAAAGTGAGAAGAAGAAAAAAGACTGTAGGCAACTGTATTATTCAGGTGCTAAATTAATCTCTTCCTAATCTTTAGCACTACTTTACTTAGGTATCATTCTATAAAGAAATGGAATATATTTCCCCCCAAAATGGTGAGTTAGCCTTGTAGTCTTTTATCATAAAACCCAAAGTGAGATTCTTAAATTAGAAATATATATATTATAAAGACAAAACTTTTTGTTCTTAAGTGTCAGTAGTCAGAATAAGCAAACAAGAAAATGGAACACTTATCCAAACCCTTCCAGCGCTTACTAAGAATAAGATGGTGACAGCGTTAATAGATAATACTCAAAATACAGTTACCACACACCAGGCACTGTTCTAAGAAGTTCGCATGTATTCAGTTAAGTCTCAGAAGAAGGAAACTATTATCATTATTCCCAAATTAGATTAGGAGCCTCCCTAGAGAGACATTAAGTAACATCAACATCACCAAGACAGTGAGTGATAAAGCCAGGATCTGTGAGTTTAGCATTTCAGGGCATGTGTCGGTGTGGCAGGCTAAATAATGACCCCTGAAAGATACCCACCTCCTAATCCCCGCGAATACATTACTTTATGTGGCAAAAGGAACTTTGCAGGTGGGATTAAGTTAAGGATCCTGTGATAGGGAGATGATCCTGTATTAGCTGGCTGGGCCCAATCACCTTCCAGATGATCAAAAGGGGCCCTGTAAGAGGGAGATGGAGGGTCAAAGCAGTAGTAGGAGATGTGATGATGGGAACAGAGGGTGGAGGGGAGCAAGGGAGCTGCAGGCCAAGGAATGCAGGCAGCCTGCAGAAGCTGGAAAAGGCAAAGAAACAGGTTCTCCCCTGGAACCTTCAGAAAGCATCCAGGCCCACCAACACCTTGACCTTGGCTCAGTGAGACTGACCTTAGACTTAAGATTTCTAGGATTGTAAAATAATGTCTGTAGTTTGAACCATTACGTTTGTAATAATGTCACAGCAGCCCTGGGAAATGAACAGTCAGTAACTCTGACCCCCAACCCCACCCTCCTGAGTCCTTGTCCCCAGGAGCCCGCTCATCCGGAGACGTAAGCCACCACCTGCTCCTAACAGCAGAAGTCACGGGGCCAGAGAACCCCACAATGAAGCGCGGGGACCCCGGGGGAAGCGTCTGGTCCACACGCAAGGGCCCCTGGCCATCCCAGAAGGACGCCCTTGTTATCCACAGCTGCCTACAAAGTCCAGGGAGATAACGAGGGTCTGGAGCCACTTGCTAACGGTGTTTTTCAGGGAATTCATCTTCTAATGAACTCGCCCTGATAACGTTTCCACATCTGTGTGAGACAAAACTCGGCAAGGGAAAGGGCAACACCCTCACAGAGCTTCCTTCCTGGAATCCTCTGGTGGCCTGTCTGGATTTACCAGTCCGGCCTTCCTGCCCTTCCCTCCAGTTGGGCCCCCTGCACCTCCAGACTAGTAATGCTTGACATTTCCTTTCTCCCCAGCCAAAGTCAGGCCCATAAACAGATTGTTCTCAGGTAAGAGACGCAGACTCACCTTCAATCCCCAGCTCCCCTTTCAAGGAAACGCCTCCCACATGCACTGATATCCACACACGTCACAGTCTTCCCCAGTCAGACCAACAAACTGAAATTTGTCATGTACCTAAATAATAGCAGCATCCAAGCAATCCTTGAAATAAGTGGGGGTGCAAAAAGGAACAGACCCCTTTCTTTATACGATGTTCTTTTAAAAATCCACAAAGAAGTCCAACCCTTCCTAAAATGCAGAATGTGCAAGGCCAAAGTTTTAAGCTACACTGCTGGGCAAAAGGACTCAGCTTCTGTTATCTTAATATATGAAACACACAGAATTTGGGAGATGGGAATATCCAGGAATAATTATAGAGAAACGGTATGAGTATTTGTTGTTATTTAGTCTGTGGCTCAGGGGTAAAGAATCTGCCTGCGATACAGAAGATGCAGGAGACCCAGGTTCGATCCTTGGGTCGGGAAGATCCCCTAGAGGAGGGCATGGCAACCCACTCCAGTATTCTTGTCTGGAGAATCCCATGAACAGGGGAGCCTGGCGGGGCTACAGTCCAGGGGGTCGCAAAGAGTCGGACCCGACTGAAGCAACTAAGCACGCACAGTGGCTCAGTCTTTTTGTGACCCTATGGACTATAGTCCTGCCAGGCTCCTCTGTCCATGGGACTCTCCAGGCAAGAGTACTGGAGTGGGTTGCCATTCCCTTCTCCAGGGGATCTTCTTGACCCAGGGATCAGACTCGCATCTTCTGCATTGTCAGGTGGGTTCTTTACTGCTGAACCACCAGGGAAGCCCAAGGTGAGTATTTGTTGAATACTTAATCCTGATTGTCCTATCAACCCTATATCAGAGGTACTAATATTAACTCTACTTGACAGATGAGCAAATTGAGGCACAGAGGGTCTAGTAACTTGCCCACAACAGCCAGTAAGCAGCAGAGCAGAACAAGAACCCCAGGAGGCAAATGCTAACTTTAACAGCAAGTGTTTGCTGTAACCCACCTGTCACCTGAGTGTCACCTGTCCCCACCCTCACACAATTAGTTAAATGGGCTTACAAGGCTAGAGGAAAGTTACTAAGGTCCACTGTACACTGCACAGCAGGGAAGCCCCAACATGGACCACAGAGTCCCAGGGAAGTCCTGCAATCAGGACCTGCCTTCCCACTGCTGGACAGCCTGTCCCTCCTGTCCCACCAGCTCTGTACCCAGATTGCATTCGACCCTATACAGCAGCTGACGGTGAAGATCTGAAGCTGCAAGCCAGGTCCTTCAAGGAGCGAGCGCACCACCTCCATGAGGCTCTGTTCTCTAATACATAAAAGGTGAAGGGTGATGTTTATAGTGCATCCGGCACAAGGCCTACTCCACTTGACACGTAAACAGAAGGCTGTGGGCCCTGGAATAAAAATAACCCCTCAGACTGACTTACCAAAAACTATCCAGTGTACCAAGCCCATTACATATATCATCTCATTTGGGATTAATTTCTTGGTAGGACATGAGAAAAGAAACACAGGTCAGGAGAGATGGATGCACAGCATACAGCCCTCAAACTAATAAAAAACTTACCTGGAACACTGTGCCTGCATGAGGGCCCATCACCCCAGTGACTGTAAATAAAGTTATCCCCGGCACCTGGGGCACAGTTAGTGCTTAATAAATGTTGAATGAACAATGAATGCACAGGAACCATTTTTAAAAGGATCTGCCACTTTCCCTGCTTCCTTGAGCCACACAAAGCAAGTGTATATATAGAAACCACCCCAGCCGCGCATTCGAGTAACGTGAGAGCAAATCACGAAGAAGCCCAGCTATGTCCACCTGCCAGGGAAGCTCCCAGCTGTTGGTGTCAAGGACTGGCGTGAAGTAACATGGAACCTCCACACTGATGAGACAGATTGCTGTTGTTTTTAAGCAAACCATCACAGTGGCTCGGGGCTTCCCTCGAAGAAACCCCACACCTTCGGCCAAGAGACAAGGAACCTGGTAGGCAGAGCTGCATCCTCCAGGCTGCACTGTCACAGACATCTTCTAGGCCATCTGCAAACAGCTCTCAGGAGCCCACAGGCTGACAGGCGGCGTCCGGAGATGATCAGATTTCTATCAGTGCCGACACATGGCACTTCTCTCTGGCTCCCATTCAAGACACCACTCCTTCCTGAACAATCAAGCCTTTAAGGATATGGCCCTGTATCCGTGGTACACACTGCCTCACCAGTGTTCTGCCTGCCGCTGACAAACCCCCCGACATGGTCTCGATTTCCCTGTTCCCCCTTCCTCTCAAAGATGGGCGCACACATTCATCTCCATCCCAGCCAATCAGGCAACACTGTCCCCAGACTCTCAACACCACAACAGTCTTCCTCCTGACCTTCAGAGAACAACCCCCCGCTAGCTGATTTTTCCTTCAGCACAGTGGCGTCAACTTGTTTCGGACTCTAAGTTCAAAACCACTGGCCTAACATCCTGGTGATTCCATGCATACTAAGAAGTCAGGATGTGATGCCCCCTGTGGAGGGAACACAGGGAATGCTGGGCACCAGTCACACTGTGTTTCTTGATCTGGGTGCTGCTGACTGCAAAGGCGTGTTCAGTATGTGAGAGGCACGTGGGTTATTTGTAGGCTTCTCTGCCTGTACCTGATTCATCTATAGAAGGTTCATAAATAAAACTGCTGATTTACATGAATTCTCAGTGTGTTCTAGAACTTTGGGGGCTGGAGCTGGGGGTCAATTACACCATATTTCATCCTCATAAGTCACAGGGTTTCTCAACAGCCTGAAAAACCAGTTCTTCCTGTGGTTGAGACCCAACAGATCACACTGGGTTCAGAAACTTGCAACAGCCCAGAAGGAAAGGCGGCCACAGACACCATGCTGCCATGGCACGTGGCTCCTGTGGACGCTGAGCCAGAACCGGTTTTGTCTGCTCCATGACGGGGCTTGCACAGTGATCACTTGGCCTTCTAGAAGAAAACAGCCAGCCAGCATGGTTTTCTGCAGAACGTCCTACTTGTAAAATCACGGGTGCTCAGAGGAGATGGATGCTCTGATGGTAACACGCATTGTTTTCTGAGAACAGAGGCCATGCCGGCAGCGCCTGCCCAACCCTTCACGTTCACCTCCCCCTCTCGGCCTCTTCCACGCTGGCTAGGGATGGGTGTGTTTCGGGAGCTCACTGCTCATGAGTTACCCTTCCAGGGCCTGACGGCTGCTCCTGGATCCTGATCAGTTTCCTTCAAGAGACTGGCTTTGGTGTTTGGGGTTCATGCTGCAATAACTTGCAAAAATAGAACATCTTTTTCATGAGCAGTCTGAGCAGCACATGAATGAATACATGAGCCTCAAGACTTCCCCTCCCCTCCTGTATAACAGGAAACACTCGTTTCTGAGTCCCTTGCTCAGAGAGTCACTTGGTCACACCAGCCATTTAGCAGCGGTGAATTTCTCATCACCTTATCCCAGCAGGGCTGCTCTGCTGGGCAGCTGGGGTGGGACGCCACGGTCCAGGGGCAGCCTGGTCTTTGCTGGCCAGAGCACAAGGCGGAATTGGCCTGAGACCTGGGGGCTTATCCTAGCCTAGCTTTGTGCAGGCTGAGATCTCCAAAATATTTTACACTGCATAGATTCTTGGGCAGAAAAGTCTCTGTTGAGCCATACTGGATGTACTTTCTGAGAACAGACCAAACTTCAGTAAAATTAAATCTGTGCACTTTGCAGGATGATGAACCTGAGGAGGAGGCCCTGCCAAGAACAGCCCCTTCTGGGAATGAGTGAGCACCAAGCGAGTTGGGGAGAGGGTTCATGTTTCCTGGGGCGCCTTCTCCCTAAGGTTCCTCCACTAGCTCCTCGGTCGCGTCTGGATGATGCTGACACCTGTGGTAAAACTTCACTCGATGGCCCTCTTGGAGGCCATCAGAAACAGACTCCAGAGAGCACTGGGAGAAAAAGGCCTGTGATGCGGACCCAAGAGATCTGGATTCAAATTCAGCTCTGGGACCATGGACGAGTCACTCCTCTCTGGACATGGGTTTCCTCCTCTGTAAACCCCTCAAAGACATCAGCACAGCATCTCTCAAGTCCCCTGAGTACTGGTGGCTTTTCAATGCCAGCCCACCAGACCTGTTTAATTTTTTTTTCTAATTAATTGCCAACATTTCAAAATCTGGAGGGCTCTTGAGAATTTAGAGATTTTACTTTAAAATCCCAAATTCTGGATTCTCTTGGGATATCAGCAGACCTGGCCACAGGGGACCCACATTATCCACAGGAGGCAGGAACCAGGAAACAGAGAGTTCCCAGAAAAGGGAGTGACCCACCCCTAGCTGATGCCCTGAGAGCATTTAAGTTGGGGACTCCGGTCCATTAGTCTGCCTTATTTTGTTCCTTTAACATATTGCTCAACTTTTTCATTTTTCACTTCAACTAGAACACTCATGAATAAGCTCTGAAGTCAAAATACTTTACAAGAACCAGAATCTATTAAGAATCTATTAAGTGGGGCTCCATAAAGCAGGGGACATATAGCCCAGCCTGCCAGCAATTCTAACACTGTCGGTCCAGGGACCCAGAGTGGTTTAAAAGTCCTCTCGAACTCTCTGACCTCCATGGGCTGTCTCCTCAACCCTCTAACCCTCAGCCAGGGACATAAGTTTGGGAGCCAGGACAATGAGGTCAGAGGTGGGCGGGTTTCTGAGAAGGTCAGGGCCACATTTGCATTTTGTCATCCTTCTGGACAGGCCAGCATGTGCAACGCTGCCTATGGGCCTGCCAAGTCACTGGCAGAGATGAAGCAACAAGTGAGTCATGTTGCAGGCAGACGCGAGAAAGAAAGGCGCAGAGAAGAGAAACTCAGGTATGTCGGGGATGAGAGGCTGGGGTCAGGAAGATGGGACCTGGATCCACATCTCTTTAAAGGAAACACACAAGCCAAGAGGTGCAGGACTGGAAGCTCAGTTCTCAGGGCAGTCACACCGCACTGGTAATAACAGTGTAATGACAATGACAGTGAAAGGACTGGCGGCAGCAGGACAGCTACCACTCAGCGAGCTCTTGCTCTGTCGGGCGCTGGGGTTATCATCATCACCCCCACTTTAGAGAAGATGAAACAGGCCCAGCAAGGTCACAGACCTGAGCAGGATCACGGGGCAACAAGTGGTGGAGCGGGAACCTGACCGCCGGCAGCTGCTTCCTGAATCCCGGGGCTCTCTGCTGCCTCGAGCGTCGCGTCTCTGATGTTGAGGATTCAGCGACTAAAACTCACAGTGCAATCTATTTGCATGTGTGCTCCTCACTGTGAAATGATGATGTTATTTACACTGATATCTAAAGGCATAGAACCGTGCACGCTCCTTTTTATGCATGGCATGGAGGACATTTAAGATGAACTTTGACCATTTGCAACCTGCACCGTACTCGCCAGCTTTAGGTGTGCAAATCACTGGGTGTGTCCTTAGCCTTGTTCACAGTGAAGTGTCTGCCCCTTCAGAGACCTGACTCCCAGCACCCCAATCACCCAGAACAAAGGTGCCCAGCATTTGCGAAAAAGCCTAAATAATGGGGAAGGGTCTCTTGAAAGATAGTTACAGGGCTGTTTTACAAAATATATTGATGCTGTGCTCCAAGGAAGAGACATTTGGACCCTTACTCACTGTCTGTCACTCTTAAAGACACCATTAAACTTAGGAAGAACAGATTAGAAGCAGCAAAATCTAAAGAGGGGAATGAGAAAAAGAAGGTGGTGGTAACGGGTGACATAGATTTCCAGAAAGGAGACCAAAAGGAAATTGCAGGGTTTAACACCAAGGAAAAGGTCTCAGCCCTGCTCCCTGGTTAAAGGCACATGGCTGTATCACATCACAGGCAAGGCTCTGTGATGAAGCTATAAGGTGGCAACGTGGAAAGTCGGGGGGAAGGTGAAACTGGGGTGGGCATCCCATTTCATAATGCAGGGAGGCATGAAGCCTAATAAAGAAACACTGGCAATCGTCAATGAAAACAAAAACATTTTAGGAATAGGTTGTAAAGTTCAACCACCTGGAACTGATGTGAACATGTTGGGTCTAAGCACATGATCTTGAACAAAGAATCTCATGGTTTTCTGCTCTAACAGGGAACTCCCTGGATTGCTCCTTCAGACACACGGCTGACAGTGTTTCAAGTTTGCTATTGAGTCGCTCTCCACCTTATCTACCTGCAAGCAAGTCTATGCCTCCTCCCTTGCCCCCCCACCCCCAGAGGACACCTGGCAATGCGTAGAGATGTTACTGGTTGTCACAACTTGGAGGGGGAAGTGCTGCTGGCATCTAATGGGCAGAGGTGACAGATGATGACGAACACCCCACTGCGCACAGGACAATCCTTAACAACCAGGAACAACCCTGGCCAAAATGTAGTGCCGAGGCTGAGAAACCCAGATCCAAACCAAGGCAAAGGTGGCAGGTGCCTCATCACTGTCATTTATTTCTCGCTCATGTGACTGCAGATTTTCGTGTCTTCCCCTGCACTCGGGGATGATCACTCCCAAACCCTATTGGGCTCTATTGGGAATCAGGTTTTTAAAGTGCTTTGTGAATCACAGGTCTCCCTCCACCATCACCTCTCCCGTTGCTTGCAGAGCCTCTGACCTGACTGAGGGGAGACAGAAGCGGTGGGATCTGGTTGGGTAGGAGGGGCCAGCACAGACTGGCCCTGGGTCCTGCGTCCTCCCACTGAGGACGGGGACTCCCTCGTGGAATGCCCGTGAGGGACGATGCATCCTGAGAGAGCCCAAAGGCCTGAACAGCCCTGCTCCCCTTCAAGCTGTGCCAGGAAGAGTGTGGTTGGTTATGGGCTGGGATCAACAGGGCAGGCCCTCAGCTCCGTGACCTGCCTCACAAGCCAGGGACAGCTACCACTCCACCAACACAACAGTAACAGCAACAATAATGATGATGATGATGCTTAAAATGGACACTGCTCAAGAACTAAGCCCTCCTCCCGGACTATCTCATTTAATCCTCACAGCCACCACAGGAGGCGGGTAGGGTGACTACCTTCACGCTACAGGTGAACTAAAATCACTTGTCCAAGGCCTCACAGCTCAAACAAACTGGTCTTCACACCCAGGACTCAGACACCACAGTCCACAGCCTTAGTCATGACGGCACCATCCTCCAAAACGATACCTCTTGCATTGCCACCTGGATTCCCATATTCTAGAAGAAACCTGGAAACTCAGCAGCACAGACAGCATAATTTCAACTAAAATAATCAATGTATGTGTATATGCATACCAAGGCAAGAAGGAAATTTCCTGCAATATTCACTGATTAAATAGTGTTTACCGATGAGTATTACAAGTGATATTAAAATTACCTCTTTATATTTTTCTAAAATCCTCAAAAATTTTAGCAATAAATAAAAATAAACTTAAAAAAGCAGAATGTTATAAAATTTGTTTTAAATTTTTTAAACATCAATTTTTTACAAAAATTTATTAAATAACCTGAAATTACTGTCTAGATCAGAGGCTGGCACCTAGAGCCAACTCCAGCCCTCTGCCTGTTTGTATAAATAAAGCTTTATTGGTACTTAAAGATTTAAATGCA